TCCCCCCGCCGCCAGCCCGAGCTCGCCGGAGATGACCAGTGTCTTACAGAGACAAGCAACCACACCATCATTCCAGGTAGGTGAACGCCTCTGCAGCTCATTGTCGTTTATTCGTTACATCCGCTTTGACGAATGATCTCCCGCAGGTTCGCCGCTCGCCGGACCGCGAGGCCTGCTGGACGTCCTCCAGCGCGAGCAGCACGTCGAGCAGCGATGACGAGTCATCTCAGTGCAACGGCCTGGGCGACGGCGCGCCGTCGAGACCGCGAGTCTCGCTGTCCCCCGGGCAGGAGTCCCTCACGGCGCACGACAAGCCTCCCCGGCCGCCCGGTGCACACGCCAAGGGTCAGGGCCAGGGCCGCGGCGAGGCCAAGTCCTTCCTCATGCGCGCGCTCGGCCCCGTCACCAACCTCTTCCGCCACGGCAGCAAGACGCCCACGGACGACGGCCACCGCGAGGAGGCAGAGGACGGCTTCAGCGAGGTCGCCTTGCAGCGAACCAAGAGCTCGCGGTCGCTGGGCAAGCCCGACGCGGACAGCGTTAGCATCAAGTCCAACGAGTCCCTCAAAGGTTACAAGATCAGGAAGCAGTACTCCGGTGATAGACCTTGGTGGCTCGAAAGTTCGGAGAATATCGCGGACCAGGCAGCTTCAGGGCTTCAGCGCGCGCCCAGCTCGAGGTCGCTGAGCAAGCCCAGTCAGGACTCCGACAAGGAGAGTGTCAAGTCTTTCAAGCTCCGAAAGCAGTATTCGGGTGAGCGGCCGTGGTGGCTGGACAGCGCCGACAACATCCCCGCGGCCATCCAGCGCGCCCCCAGCACCCTCTCCGTCAACAGCGCGAGCACTGGAGCGGCCTCGAGTCCCACCGGAGCCGCCCCGGAGGAGAAGAGGACCCTGGCCAAGCTGAGGCCGGTGGATTCCGGCGAACGGCCGTGGTGGCTGGACAGCGTCGAGAGCATTCCAGAAGGTGTCCAGAGGCTGCCCGACAGTGGGTCTGCTGCCAGCAAGGCCTCGGACTCGTCGGAGCGGGACAGGGAGAGCCAGCGTGACGAGGCCAAGTTCCGCATCACGCGTATCTTCTCGGGCGAGCGGCCCTGGTGGATGTTCAACAGCAACCCCACGTCCCAAGCGCCGCCCCCTCAGCAGCGACGCGACGTCACGGCCTCGCCGAGCTCTTCAGAGGTAAGCGACTTGAGGCGCAGGATGTACTGTACCATAAGGTACCTCAAGTTACCTATTTTAAATGTAAACTGTGTTCATGTCATGTCTTCAGGAGAGCTCGGAGGATGAGGACCGGCCCCGTGCGCCGACACCTCCGCGCCGACAGCGGCCGCCTGCCGAGAGTGACTCGTCCAGCATGACCTCCGACTGGCCGGCCTCCACACCAGCCGGGACACCCGCCCCCACGCCCTCGCCCTGCCCCTTCGCGCAACAGCCCACCCTGCCCCCGCCGCCCCCGGTCCGCTCCTCGAGTCGGCCCCAAGCGGCGGGAGCGTCCGCCCCCTCGGCGCCGTCCACCCCCAGGGCGCACCGACCCCAGCGGCCTCGTCACCTGCCGCTCTTCATCGGTGGTCACACCAATATCGACGACATCCTGGGCAACGTCGTGCCCATCTCGTCGCCCAGCCTGGCTCTGGATCCCGACATGGACGACTTGGATGGTGAGTATGCCTAAAAGCCCCCCCCCCCCCCCAACTCTGTCCGGTACGCCCCTCCTGCACGTCACACGATGGCGGTGAGAGATGTGACTGCGCCGTGCAAGTCACGGGGCGTTCAGTCCAGGGCGCCGCCGCCCAGTACTTACGTCAGCCTGGGACTAAACCTTCACCCGTCTACATGTCCTTACGACTGCTGATCTGGTTCATCCAGGCTACAGTTATTATACTGAACCGCTCGCACGGCCTGCCTACCATCTCTGCCTAGCGCCTAAACACTCGGCGAGGGACGGGCGAGGGAGTAGGCAACCCGCCGGCACGTGTGTTTGGCGGCACAGTCTATCCGCAGCTGTGGCGGGGGCTAATCACCCTCCCCCTGGTAAGACTGCGGCATCACGAACATGAAACCGGAACTGCAATGTTTCGAATTAGCTTTTCCGCGTGTTGTCTAGGAAAGGGCGCTGTGCTGCCTTCTCCACCTCCTCCCCAGAGGACTCTCAGCTCAGCATGGGGCAGAGAGAACCGGTGGCCCTTTCCCGGGCGCTAAGAGGCCTGGACAGTAATTGATCTCTGCTGGTCCCCTCCGAAATGTCCTTTAGAGTCGCCGTGAGAGCGGGCCGAGGGGGCCGGTGGAAAAGGGGGGGGGGTCGAGGCAAGTCAAGGTCCAGGTGCATTCTCCTGTCCCTTGACTCGCTCCTTTCTCCTCCCCCTTCCCGTCTCCGTTTCTGCCACGCCCCAGCTCGGTGCGCAGTAAAAGGCGGACGGATATTCTTTTGGAAATTGGTCTGCTCTCGGCTAAGACCCGCCCCGCCCCGCGCCGCCTATGAGCAGCCAGTCCAGTGAGAGATGGTTATCTGTCGGGGAGGCAGCTCGGCGGGCAGCAGGGTGGGGGGG